TATATATATATATATATATATATATATATATATATATATATATATATATATATATATATATATATATAAAAAAATATCAACTGGTATAAGAGTATATAGTTCCGCAAGATGAGTATGGAGATGATAAAATAATGGCATGAGACTCGATTTACTATACATTTGCCATGTCAAAAATAACTTGTAGATATATACACACACATAAAAAGAAGCCAATTTTGGGTTTCGATGGTCATAATTAAAAATCTCGAAAATAACTATAGTTTCTTACTCGTATACGTTTTCTTCAAGAACAAAAGAATTTTATTGAACTCTAGATAAGAATTATAAATTACTTTCTCCGTTTTAAAATATTTGTTTTACGTACTTTCATGAACATGCTCCTTATATGACCTTAAGAAAATATTATATTAGGAGAAATATTTAACTATTTTACTCTTATTTATGTCTCGAGAATTAAGATATAATCTCTATATATCCCTTGAATATTTACTATTACTGCTAGGGAAATATGAGAAGAAAATTACTAATTTTATTTTGAACTTTTAAAATAACAAAAAATCACAATAAATATTTTAATAAGAACGACAAGTATTCTGAGACGTATTTAATTTCACGTCAAGTTTACATCAATTATTGACATTCAAATTGTGTTTATAATAATATGGTAAACAAGTTAGTCCAGTTTAATGACGGAGAAAACAAACTAATTGGACACTAATTAAATGGTTTGTTTGATAATTAATGTGGACACTGTCATTTTAAATTAATTTTGACGAATGTTTAGTATATATTTCCTATTTTAATCATGTTTTATTTTCAGAATTCAAACTTAAATTTCTAATTAATGAAGAAAGGATGTCTTAATTTAACTCAAATGATATTTAAACTTCTAGAATATTCTTCATTTCAATTTGTTTGTCTCAATTTAACTTAAACAGTATTTAAATAATGGGATAAAATACAAGTATCTCCAAATTATAATCGAAATTTCAGAGACAAACATAAATTTAACTAGGGTTCTATTACCCCCTAAACTAATTTAAAATGAAATAAATATTGACGTGGTATAGAAAATATACACACTCTCTTAAAAACAAATAATGAGTTAACAAATTAGACATATGTCATTTTTTGATTAAAATAACTTTATAATTAGTAAGTATCGTACACATGCTTATTGATGTTAAAACTTATTATATTTATTATTTTGTAAAATATTTATTTTAATTTCATTCTAACTTATACATTTTATATTTTTCTTTCATTAGTTCCTTATCTTTTCACTTTTCACTATTTTAAAAAATTATGTGTATTTTTTTTAAAAGGTAAGTAATTAAAAAGTACCCTTTAATTTAATAGTTTTAATTTTTTTTTAATTTTTTATTTAATTTTTTCCACCTATTTTGATATCCGTTTGAGATTAACTCAAGACATTTGAAATTATATTTAAAATCAAATCAAAAGAAAAGACAAAGAAAATAAAAAGAGTAAATAAAATTAATAGAAAAATAAAAGATAAAAACAGTGAATAAAGGTTAAAATATTTTTAAATACGAGGCAAAAAATATGTACTAACTTAATTTAAATACAAAATAAAAAAATAAAAATTATTAATTTTAAAAAGTTAATACGATATATTTATGTCTGTACAACCACAACCAACCTAAGGTGATTAAAGGTGTCATGTCAATGAAAAAAGATACATAAAAATACGAAAAATGAGTTGGGAGGGGGGTGGATATTTGTACATTAGTTAGATGTAAATAATCTAGAGGATATTATGCCTTATTCCTTTGAAAATTTGTTTCAACTTTTTTTTGTTAATTTGCTTTTGCATAGTATTTAAAAAAATAATAAATATTTTTTAAATTTTATAACCTTAAATTTAAATATATATGTAATATGTTAAAATTTTTGTTATATTTATGGATAAAAAGTAAAACACGACACCACTACCCATACTTATATATTAGTCTAATAATTGGAATTTAAATTCTGATGAATAATTTTTAAAAAAGAATAGTAATATATATATATATATATATATATATAAGAGAATTGATGGTATATATATAGCTATAAACTATTTATCCGTAGTCGAGGATTGTGATAGAAAAATAATATAAGTATTTTTCTTATATTTTTAATCAAAAAATTTATATTCGAATTCTAAATTTGGAATCATCCTTCAAATGAGACTTTTCAATATGAATTAGAATTATTTGAACACCAAAATAAATATCAAATATTAAATGAAAAAAATAATATTATATGTTTATCCTATCTCCTGTGGGGTTTTCTCATTTCGATTCCATTGAAGTGATGATTTGACAACAGAAAAGGACTTGAATAATTGTAGAAAGTAAGCAACAAACACAAAGACTTGAAAAGGAAGGAGTCAATGCAAAATTAATTTATAAGTCTCAATTATAGAAAAAAAAGTAAATGGAAATTAAAGAGCAAAAACCAAAAAAGTGTATACTAATATTCTCCCTTTACTTTTACTTATTCACCTTCACTTTTAGCCTATCGAGTAAAAATTATTTCTTTTAATCTTCTATCCGAATCTTTGATCAAATTAAGTTAGTATATAAAGCAATTTACTAAAGTAATATGTTTTTTTTTATAAAACTAGTATAAACGTATTTTACAATAAAGTTTTTTAGGGTATATTTCTTTTTTATTGAACTCTCTTATTTCATCAAACACCTTACATGCAAATCACGAGTTGCTTTAATTTTCACGTAGAATTTTTGCCTTTTTGGTAGTGGACTGATTCTCTGTAAAGTGAATTTGAAGTTTGTAAATGTAGAAGCCGATTTGTTTGGTACGCTAGATAAGGTGAGATATCTCATAATTAAGTCTGAAACAAAATTTATTTATACTGTATCTGATTGACGAATATAAATTTATCCACCGTTTATCAAACACAGACTTTTACATATAAATTTATACTTCTCATCGAAAGTACTTAGTTTAAATGAATGTGATAGTGTACGTGGGATAGAAATAAGTCAAGGACTATATGGAGAATTATTGAAGGTTTCAGCTTTATAAAAAGATGAGCAATGCTATGCTGTAAGGGCCCAGAAGTGGAAACAACATGAAAAAGTGAAATTGGGATTGTTGTTTTTTATAACCCACACATTAGGAGTGGATAGCTATTGCCTAGATCATGTATATATGTATTTGATTATGAAGATTTATGTTGCTCGAATTCTCAAAAAAATATCGTGTTGAATCCTCAAAAAATGTTCTGATTTTGAAGGATTCGATAAATTAAATCAATCAATATTTTTGGACCGTCCGAGAGACTTAGATTATGATTATACATTAAGTTGAGGTTATTGTAGGAATCTACTTCTTTTTAGACTGTTTTTTCTTGAGCGGACGGTGTGACAAAAACAAACTTAGCTCTCGACCTTTTTGGTAGGGTTTTTTACCAGGGGCGTAGCTATACTCTTGTCAAGTGTACACTTGTATAACATAATCTAGACACTCTTGACACAACAATATGATGCAATCCAGTGATTTCAGACGTCTTGGAAAAGTCAAGACGCATAAACATATAAAAGTGTTCATATGTTTGAATCTCACTAGCATGAACTCTTCTTTTCACTTTTTAAGAAGAGTAGCCGATTGATTTGAAAAATCCGTGTCCAAAAATATTAGTTGTTAAATATTACGTAGTTTAATTTAAAAAAGTTTTAGTACACTCATTTCTCTAAAAAAAATCGGCTAGCCGGGACCCACCCCACTTTGTGAAGCTACACTAAATATGCTGTTATTGTAGGAATCTTTAAAATTAAAATCTTAGATCCGCCTTAGCGACACACATTATTGGTTATACTTGGAGAAAGAATGCTATTATATAGGTATGGGCACATATTTGAAGAAGTATTTGGTTAAGAAAGCATTTCTTGTGAGCTAA